ATCTTTTCAAATACTTTACTTAGAACTGGCAAAATAGAAATTGGTCTATAGTTGCCTAGCTCAAATCTATCTCCAGATTTAAAGAGTGGAATTAATTTGCTAAATTTCATTAATTGAGGAAACACGCCATTATCAACACATTTATTGAAAATAGTAGCTAGATAAGGAGCAACAATATCTATGAATGTACTAACTACTTTAACTGACATGTCTCTGGGACATGTCAGTTAAAGTAGTTAGTACATCTTCCGTATTTTTTAAATTTAACTGTTTGAATATTTTTATGACATGAAAAGGGCTGACATGTGAAAATTTAAATGTTAAAGAGCAAGGGCTGACATTAGCCTCCAGTAATGTTTTTGCTCGAATTGGAGATGAGTCTAGAGAAGATGTAATATCAATCGGAATATTAGCAAAAAAATCTTGAAAAATATGAACTATATCTTTTGTTGCTGTTATTAACTTATTGTCATAATTTAATGAGAATTGATTGCAGGCTTTTTCAGACCGTCCAGTTTCTTTGTTTATAATTCCCCAGATGGTCTTAATTTTGTCAGAGGACTGATTAATTTGTTTATTTATAAAATTAGATTTAGCTGCAATACAAACTTGTTTGAAAATTTTAGAGTAATTTCTCACATAAGTTGTAAATTTGTCATCAAATCTATATTTTTTTTGATCATATAAATCAAATAAAATGTTTCTACTTTTAAGTATTCCTACTGTTGCCCATTCTGTAAATCTAGATTTAACACAATATTCTCTTTTCTTGAAAATATTCTGGTATTCTTTTGACAAAAGACTAATTAACTTGGTGTAAAGAATATCAGGATTATTAAGACTGACAGATTGTAACTCTAAGTCAAATTTATATTTAACCGTGCTTTTGTATTTATTAATATTGTAAGCATTTATTTGTCTTTTTGATCTTTTATTATTGGTATTTTTTTTAGTCTGATTACTAAACTTAACAACTTGACCACAGTGATCCGAAGGAAGTTTATTTATTATTAATTTTTCAATATACTCACAGTTACAAAAAACATTGTCAAGACAAGTAGCAGTCGTAGCGGTTACACGAGTGGGTTCCTGAAAGACATTACTCAAATTAAAAGACTGAAATAAACTAATAATTTTTGTACATGTGGGTGTATCACAAAGAATATCAACGTTAAAATCACCACACACAATGATTTTTTTACTGCTATTAAATACTTTTTTTAATATATCCTCCATCACCTCTTCAAATACATTATAATCACTATTAGGAGGCCTATAAACACATATAAGTATATAATTATCTAGTTCTATACATGAGATTTCTGTACAACACTCAATAGAAAGTCTAACAGTGTCAGCACGTTCCTTTACTTTAATATTATTTCTTGCAATTATCATAGACCCACCTCTGTTAACTGACTTTCTATTGAAGCAGCTGACAACATTATAATTATTTAAACTGAACATCATATTGCTTTCTTTAAGCCAATGTTCAGTGAAACAGATAATGTCAATATTGTATTTTTCCAAAAATAATTGTATAATTAATTCACTGCCGGGAAAACTTTGTATGTTCTGATGAACAATTACCAATTCTAATTGCTTTCCCTTTGTCTTTGTTAGCAGTTTAAATCTGCAGTCAAATTACTTATATCACTATTTAAACAAAAATTAATAGAATCATTTGTTATGTCACAATTTTTATATTGAAGTTTACCATGTAAACTGTTCATGAAGTCAATATTATAAGCCACTAAAGTGGCTATTTTATTCTTAGAAGATTTAGAAAGATACATTGTATCTTTTGTCAAATAAAAATCACTAATAAAACTATTAGTGTCAAAAAATGTAAAAACGTCACTATGACGACATGTCAATGTATGTAATAAATTATTAAGGTAATGTACCTTATTGTTAATTTTTTCATGATAATGGCTACTTGTATAAGGAAGAGCGCACAATACAATCTTATATACATTCAATTGTAACAAATATTGAATACCTTTAATTATATCCTGTCTATTTAATTTAATACTATTACCAAAAAATAACACAACTGTGGTCATTTTATTCATTTTAGTAGATTTAATTTTGTTAATAATTTGTGCAAATGATGCCCCTGGCATACAGTAATTTAATACATCACCCTTAAGATGATACTTCAATATAGACCCAAAATTACAGCCTATTGTCAGAAAACACCATTGTGCTACTTTTAGGAGTATAGTCACTGACACAAATCCCCTGAACTTCATTTATCTGCACAGTTGAAACTGAATTATTATTTGGCAAAGTTGAATGATCACATGTACAATGTTTAGTTAATGACTCAAAACGGTCAGCATTGTATTTACTGACATCAATCAAATCATCCATTGCTAAAATATGCTCCTGGATTTGTTTTTGTGAGATAGTATACTTGTTATTTAAATCATGAAGCGATGATTCTAAACTCTTTATTTTTGAAGTTAGGTAACTTGTATCCATGTCATATAACTTTTGGCTTTCCACTAGTTTATTATTATACTTATTAATATAATCATGCAATTTTAAATTGTTTAAACTAGTTTTTTTCAGCAACTGACCATTTTTGGAACGTTTATATAATATACTCCGAGTCTTAGTTATAAACTTTTTTAATTTTAAATATTTTTTAATTTATTATGACTCAACATACATATGTTATTATTATAGTTGCCCTGTGATGTGTCGCTAGTAAGGTCAATCACAACTGGATGGCTGCATGGAACTGAAGTAGAAGGAGGCATACAGTCGACACTAATAAGCTCATCATATAAATTACTAATCTCATTACTTTGTTGAGATTCAAATTTTGTGTCAAGATCATTAATTTTAAGATATGCCTGCTTTAACTCAAGCTCCAACTCAGTGATACGCCTTAAGGCTTGCTCATGTGTATCTTAATAATAATTTATAATATATAATTTCTGTATAATAATTTATATGGTCCACAATCTTCATATATAGGTGTATGTCAAGGGGGAATATTGAGTCCACTGTTATTTATTTTGTATATTCATAAAATTAATATTATTCTTGGTAATGAAGTCAGCAATTTACAGGTTGCTGATGAGTTAGTTTACTGTTCAGGCTCAAATATTCATATAGTAGAAAATAAAATAAACAAAGCTCTAAAGAAATTAAATGTTTATTTTAAATATTTACAATTAGATATTAGTTTAGATAAAACTAAAGTTGTTATATTCAGTAGATCAAGAACTTTGCATGCTAATATTAATTATAATGGTAGCATACTGCCTGTAGTAGCTGAAGCCAAGTTTCTTGGTGTAACATTAACAAAAAATCTATCTTGGAATAAGCATGTCTGTAATATATCTGATAAAGCTTCTAGAGCTTTTAATATTTTAAAATGCCTTTCCAAAACATTTTGGGGGGCTGATCCAAAGATTTTACTTATGTTGTACAAATCCATAGTCCGTTCTCACTTTGAGTACAGTTACCTTTGCTTTGCTTCCAACCCCACACTCTTAAAAAAATTAGAGACAATCCAAAATAATAATTTGCGTCTAATCACTGGTGCAATGAAAACAACTCCAATAGTCTCTCTCCAAGTAGAATGCAACATTCCATCTCTGTCATTAAGATTCAAATTTCTTAAATTTAAATTCTTGCTAAAATTACATAGCTTTTCCAATAATTCACTGTTACAAAAAATTACAGATTCTCAAACCATTGCTTCTTCTTCTAATTCCATAAAATTCCCATACATTCTCCTTGATTTCTCTGCAATGAAAACTATAATTGAGCAAAATAATATTCATGTGGCAAATAATAAGTGGGCATGTTATGAAGGGACATATGACAGTAAATTTTGCAATATGACAATAGAAACAGATAAGAACTTAAAATGTAAAGAAGAAGTTTATGAACATCTTTCTCAATGGCCTTCATTTAACACAATATATACAGATGGTTCAAAAAATGACCAAGGTGTGTCATTAGGTTTTTACCATAGCGACATAAAAACTGGTTATGGATTTCGATTACCTACCATTACTAGTATATTTACTGCCGAAGCCTTGGCTATTTTGCAAGCTTTGCATTATATTAACGAAGACATATGCGCTAAACCTCATAATCAGTGGCTTATCATTAGTGACAGCATGTCAGTCTTATCAGCGTTGCAAAATCATTCATTTAGTGCCAAAACAAGCTATATTATTTACCAAATTAAAGAAGTATGGACTGTTTTGTTTAATAAAGGAAAAGAAATTATATTTACTTGGATACCGGCACACAAAGGTGTGACAGGTAATGAAGAAGTAGATTACCTTGTCAAAACTGTCAATAGATTGGGTGGCGAGTCTAAAAAAATTTGCTTACCTTGGCAAGATTTAATTCCTGAAATTAGGAAAAACTTATTAAAAAATTGGGAAGAAGATTGGAAACGTACTACCAAAGATAAAGGTACTTGGCATGCAGGTATAAACAGTACTATTGGCAAAAAACCCTGGTTTATTCAGGGAAAAATATTTTTAGAGAGAAGATTTTATACTCAAATTTGTCGACTGCGACTTGGACACTGTAAATTCAATGCACATTTACACCGAATGAAGATCATTAATTCTCCGATTTGTCTTTTATGCTCTAGTAACGAAAATCAAACATTAGAACATATATTTTTTTATTGCCCGGCCTTCAATTTAAACAGAATTTTGCTCATTGCCAAGCTTCAAGAACTATATAAGATTATTCCGCCATCGCTTCAAGAACTATTCAAATGCACTGCAACTTTTAAACCAATTTACGACTTTATCATAGCAACTATCGGAGAATTATAAACATTTCAATTATGGACACATACAAGGACTTAAAACAAACTTATAATTAATGAAAAGATTTGGCGATATCGCCATGAAGAATTTTTGAATTTCATGGAAATACTACTGAAGATTAGGCTGTATGGTCTCGTACCTTTGCCTATCCACTTGTGGATAAAATATACCACTACTACTACTACTGAAATTATCTTGTCGCTTTGGGTGAGGTGAGGTATTTTCAGTGATTGTCCATGGTTTTATTAATTTTTATAGCGGTTTCTCTACGCCGGCTGACCGAATAATTATAAAATTTGTTTGTATTTAATTATTCCAATTCCAATAATAAGTACGCATAATAATATTACATTTATTCCCTTTTAAATATGTTTTTATACGTTGTAATTATTGTTATCACTTTAGTTGCTCTATTAGCGTATATATTAAGTAGTTCGTTAGATAAAAAAACTGTTTACAAGGACTTAAAGCAAAAACATGTCGTTATCACTGGTGGCTCCAGCGGCATAGGGAAAGCGGCTGCTGTGGAAGCGGCGAGGTTAGGTGCACACGTTACTATCATAGGCCGCAATGTGCATAATCTTAAGTCAGCAGTTGATGAAATTACTTCTCAATGTTTAGATAAAAATATCCAAAAAATACAGTATGCTTCACTAGATGTCACATCCGATTATGATTCTATATCGACATGTTTGTCTAGTCTGGAACAAAATGTAGCTCCCATATTTATGCTGGTAAATTGTGCGGGAATGTGTATTTGTGGAAAATTCGAAGATATGAAAGTTGAAGATATAAAGCAAATGATTGATCTCAATTATTTTGGAACTGCTTACTCAACTAAATATGTTCTACCTGGCATGAAGAAGAGAAATGAAGGTGTTATTGTTTTTGTTTCTTCAGAAGCAGCTTTCATTGGTGAGTGTGAAAATTTCATCAGTATTGACTTCTAAATATTGTCTCTGTTTGAATTTGAGTTAAACATTAATACTGAACAATTACATCATTCTTTTATATATAACATTCTGTAAATAGATATGTGCTCATCTTTATACAAGCTGTCCAAGAACTCAATAAATTGGTGCTAGTTGGTGGTTTGTATTCGCATGTTTCAAATTGGAAATGTAAAATTACAATGATTATTTAAAAGCAAAGTGCAGGTTTCTTACTCGTTCTTCTTGTGATAAGACAGCTTTCCAAATGAGGGGTAGATTAAAAGAATGAAATACCTATGACTATTCAAAAGTGCTTAAATTAAGTTTATTGAATAAATGACTTTCTATTCTATTCCATTAAATGTCAAGCCGAAACGGAGTGATGTTTGTTAATGCAGCTCAGCTATGCGCTCAATGGGCTTTGAGTAAACTTTTTTTTAGAACGCCCCAATAACAAAAATCCAGGTGATTATGTCTCTATTTGACTTTTATTCCAATAAACTTAAACTAAACTAGGTCAAGATTCTTCATTATTCTATAAATTTCTACCAAAGTCAACAAAAGTAAGTAATACTTTTGTTGACTTTGGTAAAAGTAGCATCACTATCTGTCTCACTCACTCATAGCAAGAATGTCCACTATCAATCTCTCTAATCATATTGCTGTAAAATTAAGAAACTACCAAGAGCTTGTGAAAAATGGTTACAGTTTGACCAAATGTCTATGTTTTTCTTAAATGCCCATAATTTTCAAACTGCATGGGATAGATTTTTTTCTGATTTTTCTCATGATGGTTACAATCAATCCTGTCACCCCGTTTCGGCTTGGTGTTGATTTCTTGGACACCCTGTATATTCTTAAGTACAGGGTATATAAATCCCTAAATACTACATCCACTGATTTCAATAATATCATAGCTTATTTTAGTATAAAGATATGGATTTTCTATTACTAAATAAGATAAGTAGCCATTTGTAGTTAATTACAAATTTTATGTTTCATTCAATATATCACATCTACATTTTTTTAACAGGAATTTATGGCTACAGTGCATACAGTGCATCCAAATGGGCCTTGCGTGGTTTAGCAGAAGCAGTCCAGATGGAATTAGTAGGTACTTCAGTTAGGTTAACAGTGTCATTTCCACCAGATACTGATACACCTGGTTTAAAGACTGAAGAGTTAACAAAGCCCAAGGAAACTAAACTTATATCTGGTACTGGAGGTTTACATCCTCCAGAGGAAATTGGCAAGAAACTTATCCATGATGCACTGGTATGTTGTGTTCTTTGCTTATTTACAATTAATTTATAATACTATAATGAGATTGCTTGAAACATGGCAGTGTGAGTCTGAGTCCATTGAGTGCAGAACTCTTAATTTAATGAGGCTTAACTTCATGGCTAAACATTTAGGATTTCCTGAGTTGCTGAAACTAAAATAATATAATATAATTTGGCACTATAAAAAAACAGTAATAATTTATGAGTCTGAAAAGTTAAACCTTTTTAGTAATATTGTTGTATTTGTCAATGTATTTCTTACATTCAATTACTTGCATTTCAGACTGGAAAAATATATTCTGTATATGGTATATCTGGACAATTATTATCAATATTGTTTGGAGCATCAGTTGAGAGCACCACACAAGTTCTAATACAAGTATTTTCTATGGGATTTCTTCGAGCAATTATGGTAAATTTTATTATGACTTTCAACAAGATTGTGAAGGATGGACTGACTGAAAGAAACAAAGAGGAAGAAAAGAAAGAAAAATAGTTTATTTTGTATACCACTATCACTGTGCATATACATATACCTCATAATTTATCACCAACTATTATAAACTAATATCCACAACGGAATGTGGATATTAAGAAGTTGACAAGGTGAATAGGTAAAGGAACTGGGGCTATTGAAACTGTAAACTAGTATTGAAACTATTTAAATTACCTATATTTGTTTTTCAAATTGTGAATGCATGTAAGCAAATTTTATAAACTAGAACACTTGTAAAATAAAAATAAAATATTTTATAACCATGTGGAAACTCATTAAGTATTTATTCACTTTGTAATGTGTATTGTATGTATATGTATCCAGCGTGATTAATAAACTGTAATAACTTCTATGTTAATTCTTTAAAATTAATTTGGAATTAAATACTAAGATTTACCAAAGAATATTCCGTATGTTAATAAGTTGAATTTTATTATTAGTCTTGGTGATTATGTGAAATTATTACAATTAAGTATTTAAACTGGTTTAGAAATAAACTGTTTACTTTTCGTATATCTATATCATTTACTAGAATATAGCAGAATTGTTTCTGTTACCTTATGTATGACGTTGATGATTATATAAGGAAAACATCCAAATTTGTTATGATTGATGATATGTGTAAAAATAGATATTTGTATTAACATTATATATTGTCGGTGTTTTAAAGTTTGATTCATGTGTTAAAAATTTATGTAAATTTTTCTTTGATACATTTTTCTACTTAAGATGTACTTGTAGAAAGTGTATGTTTATGTAACAATTGTTTCACTGTTAACACTCGGTTTACAGTAATAAAATGGATTTCTGCTGTTCAGTGGGGCGTAGCTTAGTGGGGCAACTGTTCTAGTTCTATTAATTAGCACTCAACTTTCAGTATCTTGCAAAGGTATATAGCTTGCGCAGCTATATACGCTATATAACTATTCGCGCCGTAACGTGATGCGTCCAAGATGATAGGCCAAAACTTTCTAAAAATTAATGACTCAAATTTGCGATAAAATAATAAATAAAGAAAAGTATTAACTATGTACCTACTAGCATAATTTACTAGTGTAACAGAAATGGTAAACTAATGGGAATATTATGTATTAATGATTATGAAGTAGGATTTAGTCCTTCTGATTTGCAAAGAACATGTTATTGATTTACTACAAAAATTTCATCATTCTACTATATCTCGATAAAATTGCTATAGCTGAGTTTCTGTAAAGAAAAAGGAATAATTTATCAATGAATAAGCTCTTTTAATTAGTAATATTTTATTTTTATTCTAATACACATACACATATGTTATTGGTCCAGTGTCTGTTACGTACCATATACATTATGCATAGGTATTTATACTATTCAAATATTTTTTATTATATATATGTCTGATACTATTTTGTAATGGGAATGTATCCCAGTGCATTCGCTTTTGTTTATCTGTAACTTGCGTGAATTTTTATGCATATGTCTAGCACAGAAAAATATTTGTATGAATAGGATTTATAATATATAGGTACTTGTATAATTGAATGTAATATAAAAAAGAATTCAATCTATAAGAGATTTTAAATTCATATTTTTTTAAATTAAAAAGCACAATTTTGTACCAGTTACACAACTATATATAAAATATATGTTATTTAATTTTAGTATAAATGTTAATCAAATTTTGTAATAAGCATTGATGATGATAAAACACTTAATTTTAGTATGTCAAAAGTGACTTTGCTAGGGTTGAGTCATTACTGCTACACTACATTATTGCTTTTAAATTAAAAATTATATAATATTGCATATAAACATTATTAAATGTGCCTTATTTTTTTGTATGTAAAAATAAAATGTATTTTTTAAATTGAACAAAGTATTTATTAAAAAGAAAACAACTATGATACCATATGAAACTAAATAGCACGATCATTACAAGTAATCTGTTGATAATGAAGTTTAAAACCACGACCTACATACCCACCATCTGATCTAAACCACACGACAATAGGACCGGCGTTGTTATCTGAAATTAATATTTTTGTATATTATAATAATTAGATATAAAGACTATCATACATATAAAAATATATAATATATTATTTTAAGGACAATATAGTTAGGTTAAAACAATAATAGCGTCATAGCCGTAGAATACTGACGGATCTGACTATTAATTTAATAGTCAGATTCGTCAGTATTCTAATAGTCAGATCCGTCAGTATTCTACGACTATGACAATTAGGTATCGTTTGTTTTGAAGAAATCAGAACAGAATTTTTTAAGTAATTATTTATTAAATTACTTAATAGCTTGGTTACATCCAGCTTGTATACCAATGTAGAAAATATCACTGATTTTAAATAAAATTAGGTTCGATCGGTTTTTTGAAAACATCTTTAGTCTCAATTTTGGCACTAATAAAATCGGTACTACTCGTGTGGATACAAATGTAATAAAATGCATGCACATATATATATTGCATTAATGTCATGTACATAATAGTAAAACATCTGAACCTAACGTTAATTTAAAAGCACTACTCCAGTAAGTAGCTAGTTATCTACTGAAAACAGTTCAGAGAACCTCGGGCTGGTCTCCCATGCAACAATCATGGTTAATTCCTGGAGAATTCCGATCGGTTTACTGACCTGAATTCATGCTCATATGTTTTTCTATTGGTGCACCGTCACCGAATACCGATAGCGCAGGATAGTTCCATCCATTACCTACTCACCCATAAAAAACCTATAAAGGAACAAAAGTAATTTTACCTGTAATTGCAGCATCTAAAGAGAAGTCCTGTAATATCGAGCCATCATTAAGACGATCGCCACAAAGCCTCGTTGCTGCTATGAGTAACCAATCACTAGGGCAATTGAATATTTCCACTCCCGCTTGTCCAGGTGGAATAATTGGTAAGCCATCTGTAATTTAAAAGTAAATCTAAGTTTTAATTAACTATCTAATAAGTAGGTAGTAGGTATTAGGTAGTAAATATTCGAGCTGATTAACTATTTATTCGGAAACTTTTGTGTAGATTTAATTTTTGAACATAACGGTTTTTAAAAACTTATTTTAGTCGTTTCTCGGACACGTATTATGTTAATATGCTTAATAATTTATCTTTGTAAAGAGGAAAATTTGACTAATTATTTTGATTGTATAAATTATTTCATTTATAGGAAGCTAAGTTATTAGGTGAATTAAAAAATATACCTTAATGGCAGACAGAATTGATTGACTGTTTTATCTAAAATCTTAATTAAGTACATATTGAATTATAGATACCTGCATCGTAATTCACTATTTGCATACTATCCGATTTACTGTACGTTATGCTGCAAGTCCCCGGTGTGCGCTTTATACACATTGCATAATTCATGTTGTTCTGAAAATGAGAAGGCGTCCATATTAAAGTACCATCTGATCTCAAAAATTCGAATTCACAAGACGCAGACGCTGATGATTTTGCTGCAATTGATAGGAATTATTCCCATTATAATAGTTTTTTTATATTACATGTACCTACTATATATTATATTGCCCACTGTAGATAAATTACCTATCAGTCTTTGTTCTTTTAATTAGTGATAATTTGAAATTTGAAAAAAGGGAGTATGTTTTTAATTTCATGCATTAAAAATTATCTATGTCAACCTGAGCAGCATAACTTCGCCTGCATCACACTTACTTGACTTCTATTCTTTCCCCCAATTTACATAATATCTTTTTCAATTAGGTATATATCCTATAAATTATTGTGATATATAAGTTATATTTCTGTAGGTTTCATCAAAATCCGTTCTCACAAACTTTCACGTTTATAATATTAGTACCTAATATAATCTACGTATGTTGACTGCTGTACTCGTACCTACCTATGGTATACCACTGTCTATCAGCTGGCTCCTGAAGATTGTCAGTAATTATCGTAGAGGTAGTACCTACCTATTTGGTTGGTAGGTATGTAATTAGGTGTTATACCAAAAAGGTAATTGAGATAAGACAAAACTTTACTTACCAAATAACTTTGGTACCTTGCAATTCCTATGTCTGATTTGTCACGGTAGTTAAAGGATTCCACGTATCCGTCAGATTCGGTAAAAAATTGTAAACATCCATTTGGTGCTGCCATTTCATCAAACGACGTCAACTGTGTGATCTACAATTGGAAATAATATCTATACATATAAATCATTAATATGCATAGAATAATTTCGTATTGAATTAATCACGTGACCGCAGCTTATGATAAAAAAATATATTCAGATTTTCACTTTGTTTCTTGGCGAACGAGATTCAAATTTATTACATCAAAACTACACATTACACTCTACATTAAGAATAATAGGTATTATTGGATTAGATTGAAAGATTTCAATCAGTTTTCTGCCTGGTTTTTAACATGATATATCTAAATAGTTTTTAGGACTAACCCTGTAAGTCTATGTATTTAAATTCAGGCACCTACCTTTATAGAAAACAGTCTACTATCTGAGGATACAGTTTGAACTGATAAATATAAAGGTCCATCTGCATCACCGACCTCTATATACGCTGAAATTAACACAATAGTTTATTATTATATTTAGTATACCAGTTACCCGCGACAACGTTGCTTGTTTTAAAATGGAAAATAGTGTATGTCCGCCCTCGTGATATTGTCTATGTTCTTGCCAAATTACAAATATCCATTCAGCCGTTTCGCCGAGAATAGATAATCAACAGCCTTTCGAATTTATGATATTAGTATTGATAAATCGACCACTGGCGACATGATATATTTTAACAGACCTACCTTTCTTATTGTTTGAGATTTTGTTCAACAAAAAACAATTATAGTAATTGCTTTGGATTACTTTAAGTTATTTTAATTATGGTTACATACCATGTTGGCCTGTGTTGATACCACATAAAATAGGTATCACATTATTAATATTTTGTCCCGAGACAATAAATTGATCTTCTTCACAAGTTCCAGCGTATGGTGGTAGTAGCTTAAAAAGAAAAAAGTAAAATAAAAATAATTCATATAAAATAATTTATAAATATTTATGTATGTATATATATAGTCTTGTATGATAGACGTTACCTCAAAGTTAACAAAATCTAAACGTATCTGTTTAATATCTTCAGAAGCTTTATTTAATGTAATTGTACATGACAGTCTCTCCGTACTTGGTGAAGGAAAACCTGGATTGGTAAACCATCCTACGAAGGTACTGATATGATCGTCGCACTGGAATTGATCTGCAAATTTGAAGAACTGGTGATGTTGTATTTTTAAAAAAAATCTTTAAGACTTACAAGTCTCAAAGTTTTTTTAAAAATAGAACTTAATGCTTAGACTTGGCACTTACTTACGCAGCAACTTCCATACCCGTCAGCACAGGTACCCATGGCAGTCCCTCCAGTAGTTTCGCATTCATACTCGTGCAAGCAAGTTCCTTCTAGTCCACTGCTTGATATGCAAGAAACGTGCTCGAATTGCACTACCTCAAAAACTTCCAAAAACCTTCGTTTGTCTGTTACATTCGAAAATATTTTTCGTTTATCTTCTCTATACGATTTTACAGTTGGACACTTTTTACGAATAACTTTTCTATTAGGTCCTCTCCTGATCACATTTATAACGTTTATAGTGTGATTGTATCTTATTGTTTCCGGCTTCATTGACGAATATACGAAAGGTGTCTGTCGTTGTGTAAGATTTTTAGCTGGAAGGTACTGATTTAAATCCCATTTTTCTGCAAGCAGTGGCTTTCTAAGACCATTCCATTCCTTTTCCTCTAAAAGGCTAGTGTTATTTCTTATATGTACTGGTAAATATTTCTGAGTATAATTCTGTACATAATTCGGATAGATTTCGTTGTAATGTGACGTCTTGAAACTTGCATCTCTTTCTGTAACTGATGCTGAGTACCAATATTTGCTGTCACTGTATAATATAGCCCATAATAAAATAAAAATGTGTGATTTCATATTATACATATTAATATGTCCTTGATAATTTAAAAATGTGTTGTCAGCTCCGAATGGTATTTACTTCTGCACTGTGCACTGGTTTCGCAGTGTGCCTCACTCGTTCTAATGGGATAACTTAACGGATCTAATAATTAAAATGACTAGAAAACGTTCTGGTTCGTTTCTTTGTAACACTTGTCTTTACATGTCTAATTATAATGTGTATCTAATTAAGTAGATGTAATAAGTAGGTATCTAATTTTTTATATAGTACTTCCACTAAAAAAGGATGGAAGTTACTAAAATTGTAGAAGTGATAAGTAGGTACATATGTGTTTATAACTCTTGGGTTCGTACATATATAATAGAATGACTAGTTTAAGTCACATACTTACGTGGGTCGGACACACATGACCTGTATTAAGTATAACTTGTAGATATTAGACCACACCCAGTACAACAATTTAGCACGTGCCTTAGACCTAGATCATACTAAGTCGTCGCATCAAATGTTTTAAATGATAAGACTATAATATCTTAGAATACCTTAGAAAATAAATGGTGTCAATAAATCAGCATCAAGGTGCAGCTGATAATCGAATGAAATAATATAATAATAGTTAAACGTTGTTCGTATTCTAATACCTATCTAAGTATCTACTAATATAGTGACTATTGTATCTATATTTCTACTGCAGCATCTTTAATAAGTCTTCTTTATTCCCAAAAGTTGGTACCTAGTACGCTTGGAATTCTTAATCTATACGAAATGTAAGTAGTATATTCTGTTCTACAAATAACTAAGTATATCTAAGACAAGATAATACTGAAATGTTTTTTTTTGTGGCTAACATGGAATCATACATCCCCCTGCGATGACGGTAGGTATATGTTACTTGGGCACTAGTGGAGATGATATAGAAGCAGGATTAAGACGGGTCAGTCAGACCATAGTGGTGTATTTGCCAGAAATTAATCATGATGCTTTACAAAATTTGGTTCAAAAAAACAGGATACGTGGGAGAAGAATCTCCTCAGTGTCGACAATGCATATGTATCCATGATATATGAGGGTTAGAAGTGTCTATTACCATAGAGGACACATTATATATATACCTAGTACTAATATGTACTACCTTTTATCATTTAAATGTTTAAATGCGTATGCCCGGTCAAGGGAATAAAATAGTTAATATATTTTATAAAAAAATAGACCAATGTCTAAATTAGTTTAAAAGTGATATTTACTGATTATTATAAATATATTGGATTAAAAAAAGTTTCACCTAAATTGTATTTTTGTGTAATTAAGTAGGTATTATAGGTATAATTTATCTTTTGCCAACAATATATCATTTTACATTCACCTACATTTTTACCAATTCATTTTTTATTTACTAGATATGTGTTTAACACATTTATTATAAATGTGTCTACTCTATATAAAGATTATATTATGTGATATTTAAATTTCTTAGGCTAGTAATCTAAAACCGGGTGGACTTGGTCTACTTTTTGGGTCATAGGTTTAGTATTCGACGGTGTGTAATACCTACTGTTACATTATTTACAGGGTCAGTATGAGTACCTAGAAGACATTGTTTCAACTAATCGATTTTAACGTTTACTAGTGCTACGCCTGTGTTTGTTTGGACTGATCAACATGTGTGTCTAATATTGTAGGTACTTATCACTATTTAAGTTTCCTTCCTCGAGTAATTTTCCTTCTGTTAACAACATTATTATGTGTAATGTACATATTTAAGAGTAGGAGACTTTGTTCATAGACTTCACGTATTTCTATAATATCTAAGTCTGCCGCCAGCACCTTAATTTTTTTGGTACCAGCTCTGAGGAATGGTAACGCATGAGAAGTAACACCACGGGCATTAGGTACAATGTATTTTGTGACGTCTATAATACTGCTCATGTAAAATTCCTTCGAAATTGTTTTTATTTGGAATAAAGGAAAGTCTATGCCTATTTTAATAATAAAAATCTATTCTTTGTCTCGCTACGGTAACCATTTTCCATCTGATGGGCCGTATGCTTATTTGCCACCGACGTAGTATAAAAAATACAGCCGTTTAGTTTTAAAATGGTAATGAATAGATAGATATTCTTTGGCAATTATAATATTAGTGTAAATCAGTTACTCTACGGATTTTATTGTCCTTCTTGTCGCCGCGCCCAAGCCGCGCACACTTTTTCCAAAGCTCGTGCTCCCAATATGGCAACGTACAATGCTGTCATAGCACCTTAGTGCATTATATTATTAATGTGCACTATTATACACTATCATACGTGTCCATTCTAATAACCATATGTTAATATAGCTCTTGAGCTATAAAAGCAATGCCCCTCTCGTTCGTACTGCACTTTGCTTCCAGACTTTGGTTGGACAACAAATATGATAATAAAAGTAAGTAGGTATACCTATTAATTTATGTATTGTTGAAGGACTTGATAGTAAATATTTTTACAAGTTATATTGGTGATGTTTGCGTCAGTAATTCCAGAAACTAGATGTAGGTACACACTTCACTGTTCTATGTTATTTAAATTAAATATTGGCTAGTTATTTTTACAGCAAAATTAATACTATGAAAATCATTGTCGACCTAACTATTCTTTATATAATTTTTTCTGATATGGTGAATGAATTACTAGGCACTGTAAACTTCATATTATAGGGCAACATGCGTTACCATCAGGCAGACCATATGACGTTTGCCATTCTCGTAGTATAAAATATTTTAATTATTCTATAGTATAATGTTTGTTATTATATTATTTATAAATTAGTAATAATTGATTGATGTCAACCTTTAGGTTCTATTATTGGCGTGTGCGGTAGCCGCCACTCAGGCGGGTATCGTGTCACCAGTTGGCGTGTACGGTTCCCCCTACAGTTATGGGGGTTGGAATCCATACAGTACTTATCCGGCACAACCAGCGCTCGCTACACAGTCGTCAAATATAATAAGGTCACCGTTTAATCTTGGCCAGGTATGTTCGTTGTCGTCCTATTGAGACAGTATATTCAACGTTTCTTACACAGTTACTATAAATCGAGTGTTTAATAATATGATAATATAAATATATTTGGTCTAATATTTCGATTTGATGTTGTTCTGGAGGAAATATTAACGAAAAGTAGAGTTTTCAAAGTACTAATTTATGTGCTTCTGAAAATATTCATCAATTAGGTACCTACCTTGGCGGAGCACTAGTGAAATATTTTTAGTATTGGCACAGATAAGATAATATTATTAGAATGAATTTATCCTTCGTGAGATACGTAATGACATGGAATTAAATACAATTGTTTCAAGGGAAGACCGCGTATAGGTCGATCTGCCATAATATAGCTACTAGGTCTATTACTAATAATCCCGTTACCTACATATTAATAATTTAATTTTTAGGTTTCAACTTATTCAAAAGCAATCGACACGCCGTTTTCGAGTGTTCGCAAATCGGATATCCGTGTGAGCAATCCTGGCATAGCGGTATCTCCTGCCTTCGGTGGAATAGCAGCTCCATTGGTATCGCATGTGGGAGTGACAGCACCGGTTGCAAAGGTATACATTATTAATATCTAGGATTTAAATTTGATTGCTTACTGCTTTAATCGACCTCGGTGGTCTAGCGGTTTAACACACCGCTTTACCTCCGAGTCGAGAGTCGCGAGTTCGATTCCACGCACGATGCAAACATTTGTGTTCATAAGTATGTTTGTTTGTATCGGGATACCGGTTGTTATGGGTACTAGATAACTGATACCTATAAATACATAGATATTTTTTTTTGTAAATGCATACATATTATACATAGTTGTATATTATGTATTATATTTACAAAAAAATATGTGAGTATTTATATCAGTTCTCTAGTACCCATAACACAAGCTCTGCTTACCGTGGGACTAGATGGCGTAGTGTTACTTGTCCAGGTCATTATTATTATTCGTATTTATTCGCCGATCGGCCGCCGTCGGGGTAGATTACTAACGCAACCCAATGACTTCGATAAAGAACCGCCTAAAGGTACACCGTGTGGTCTTGATCTTGATGTGGAGATTATTCAGGTGTTATAATAAAAATTCTTTTGCTAAACAAAGTACAATTGTAGGCAGCAATTGTAGTCAATCTATAGGTGCTTCGCGTATATATGTAATATGTATAGCACCAGGTGCTTAGATAGTGTAACCTCTGCAATCTTCAGTGTATAGACAGCGTTGAAGAAAGTAGAAGTATCAAGCTCACCAACTTAATGTTAAGAGCGATGCTATATTGTTAGAGCGACGACATACTTACATACGATAGTACTTCTGAAATTTTCTTCTACGTGTTACCCAAGTAGAAGAAACTTTGAGAAGATCGTGAGCAGTGGCGAGTCTTGGCAGAAGCTCATCAGCCCATTGCAGTTCACTTGTAGACATACTAGTAGTGGGCTGATGGTGTAGATAATGATACAACATATTGTTGTTTCTATTTGTAATGTATAGTTTTGAATTAGTTTTATATGTGTATAGCCCATAATTCAACTTTTCTTCACGTTCTCTAGGTTGCAACTGCTGGTGGCCTACTTGGTGTGGCTTATTCTGCAGCGCCTGCGGTTTCGCATATGACATATTCAAATGGCCTTGGCCTTGCTTACGCATGGTAAAGAAGTAAAAAAGATACGATTTCTACGAGCTAAGTGTAAACCTATGTTATTATTTGAGATGAAGTGTTCCTCTATATTTATTACTGTTTAGTTATAACGTAATTTATTTGTTATCTAATAAAATACTATTTTCAACTAAATGTGTATTTTTGACATCAATTTGAGCACATCGATTGAATATTTATTTAAAAAAATGTGCTCAGAGATAGGTATCTCTGAGCACATTTTTTTAATATGGTGACCATGGTGAAAGGTTGTGGCAAATAAAGTATAGATATTATTCATATTCATCGATAGTAAATAAATATCAACGAAGTCGAAAATATCGATAGTTCAACATCGATAACATAGAATAAAATGCCATTCAAAATGCTAAAAGATTAGAAATTAGATAGGACCAGATATGTCTTAACACAACAACTCTTAGAACAAGTAATTATAGCGAAACGATGTTCTCTAATCATAAATCAATACTCATGGATCGATGTAGACATCATATTTTTCTATCTAATATCGATCGGCCCTAAACTGAATAATTGAAACTAAAATGAACTTTTAGGTACATAAAACTATGTGGTATCATATTATATAATAGTTAATATGGAAGTATAGCTAAATCCAACTGCTACTTATAGTTGTTCATATGTTTTTTTGCTATTTGTTGTAGATATATGTAATTCTTTTATAGTGTAAGTAATTAATTAGTGATTTTCAAAAAAGGAAGTTTTGCCCAAAAGTCTTTGATTCATTACTTATTTCTAATTATAATATGATCCTGATCCCGCATATTTCTTAAGTTGATATGGCACAGTGATAATTCGTTCATTTTTCATAACAGTAGCATTTTCTAGCACTTTTCAGTCAAGCATGTAGTATCATTTATTTAGTTTGTGGTCGAGAGCACAATAGTAAATTTAATTCTGGTCACACTGATTAGACCTTTACTTCATTCTTTACCATCCTTTTTAATTTTTCTTTGTGTACCTAATAATTTATTTACATTTCCATAGTTTACAGTCTAGAACCATTAAAATTTTTAGTTTACTTAATTAAAGATATAAGTTTAATTAGCTACTAATACCCCACATATAGATAACAGCTGGTGTTTATTCACGTTGATCGTGTACACAAGTGAAAAGTGTTGTATATTCAAAGTTGAAAAGAATACATTACAAACAATTTAGTTGGTAGAATGTCTGATAGTGGAGAGAATGATGCTTCTTGGACTCTTTATAAAGATCGACCTGAATGGCGGGACGTAAAGCCGGTTCCGGAGGACGATGGACCTTCACCAGTTGTAGTCATCGCTCACTCTGAAAAATGTAAGTATTTCACCAAGAAACATATAATCTCGCATACTGATATTTTGATTCCTTTGAAGAAAATTATAGTATGATATATTATGCCCTTTAAGAACTGTTATTACATGTAACAGACCTTGACCTATGGTCATAACTTTAATACGTTTAATATAAGCATTAGTTAGTTTTTTCCTATTTTTATGTTCACTTTCTTCTGAATATCATGTCCTTCTTAGTCTTCTTTGATTCTAAGTCTTATTTTGTTAGTGTTAGTAATGTTTTTTTAAAAATAAAACCGTAATAAGTACAATAAGAAACAAGAGTAAATGTGAAAAAAAAAGTGAGTTGTTTAAATTTTTGCAAACAGTGACATATGGCATGTTAAATCACACTGAAATTATAGACAGACAAATATAACATAGCAGGTTTGTCTTATGATGATGTGATGTATGTGGCACTTTTCATGTACATAGCCAATGGTTGCCACATACAAGAAGGTCAACTTTTCTCAAAATTTGTGTAATAAATTTCTTTACTTTACTTTTTAACTTAAATCCTTACTTAAATTTTGACTATAATTATTCATATTCTTCAGGCGGGATTTGGCTTTCAACCACTTCACAACCTGTGGATTTGGAGTGCCATCTGCACTCGCCTCCTATCATCTGGTGAAGCGATAAAGGCCAGCCACTGCCATCAAGTTTAGAGTAGTCCAATAAAAAGTATAATTATTTGCTGTACAGTATATTACTTAGCTATTACATTTTTTATTTTTTACAATAATATATAATATTTAATCCATATTTTTACTAATTAATCTTTATCATGTATATTTTTATAAAACATATCATGGATGTATATAAAAGTACATATTCTTCTATTTCAATTATTTTACAGTTGAAGATGTATACAACTATTTCCGTGCCATACTTCAAAATAATGAAAAGTCTGAGCGAGCACTGGATTTGACTAAAGATGCCGTTGAATTGAATCCTGCTAATTACACAGTGTGGCAGTATAGGTTAGTTTTATTACTATATATATATTGTTACTGGTAATATTTAATTTCTAGAACTTGGATCTTATATGTATGTAAGTCAACTTAATAATAGAATTTTCACTAATAGTATTATTTACTTTATGTAATGTAATGTAATTTATGTAATATTTATTCTTACAGTTGAATATAACCTAATTCAAAGAGTTGTAATTCTCAACTACTATATTTTTATAAAATATATTTTTTGTATATGTGCTGTGATAATAAGTATAATAATAATCAAATGATTGCTTGCTTTGTGCTTATGTAAGAAAAAAAAGCACAACTTGGAAATGGAACAATTAAAATTTTAACAGCTAGTTAATTGTGGATGTTATTCAGTGTACTATTGGTCAATGTATAAGATATTTGTTAATTATGGATCTGTTAAAATTGTCCTGAGAACAGATCTGAGTTTTCTTAGCTTATACCATTCTGAAAACGGTTTATATGGGATTGCTGTGCATGGGCATAGCTAAATTGAGATATAGGCACTATTAAACTTTTATTACTATACTTTTTTGATATCTTTTGTAATTCATATTTATATAAAAAGCTTACAGTGAATCAGGAGCTGGTCTGTCCAATCACCACTACTCAGTAACAGTTAATATTGTTTATCTATTTTTGATATTCAGTAGTTTTACAATATACCTAACCTATACATATAAATAAAATTGGAGTGTCTGTTGTAAATTGAAATAATAGTTTTTTACTACATGCATATGAATATAAATAATCAAAAGACATTTACATATACCAAATACATGTACATACACCAATGTACCTGTATTTGGTACATACACCAATGTTTGTTCCGGCTAATCTCAGAAATGGCTGGACCGATTTTGACAGGACTTTTTTTGGCAGGTAGCTGATATAATAAAGAGTAACTTAGGCTACTTTTATGTTAGAAAAATAAAGTTAAATAACCATGCTGGACGAAGTCGCTTGAACAGCTAGTATTTAAAATATAATACATTTCATTATCAATTTTCTTGTTTACATCGTACTTAGTCAAATTATGTTATCTATTTTTTTTATTACAGGAGGGATCTATTGCAGGCCTTGGGAACAGATTTGAGAATTGAGTTAGATTATGTAGAAGCTATCATAAAACATTCACCAAAAAACTACCAGGTGTGTATTAATATTAGTGAAATATTAATATTTACAAATAATTACAAATAATAAATATTTGTATGGTAATATTAGTGAAATACAATAATCTTACAGTTAGTATAAGTACATTTTTTAATGTAAAGGACATATAATGATAAAATAAAAGATATAATATAGTACTAGTATTTAGTACAGAAATATTTTGATTTAATTTAATTCTACAAGTGTGGTTATGAAGTGGGAGAATGCACACATTTATATGATTCTAGTAAGTTGATGTCTAAAATACACTACAAACTATATAAAAATGCTTAAGGGACAATCCTCAGAATACAGTTTTGGCATGGCACGCTGCCATTTTATTACAAAAAAATACAAAACTAGTATATATTAGTATATATTATAAAATACAGAAAAGTTTTGTTATGTATAGACAAGATGTCTTGTATACTGCAGATGTCTTAAAATTTTATATGTCATTTGTTACTACTTATTATGGTATTCAATGGTACTTACAATAATTTCTTTTACTTCAGGCTTTAATGCTTAGACTAAGACTATAAATACTAATATAATAACCACTTTATTACAAGTTTAAATTGTGATTGGGTGATTTACAAAGAATATCTATGTGGTATAAAGATTGCTGGAAAGACCAAAATAGTTAAATATGTTATTATAAAATTTCCAGGTATGGCATCACAGAAGAGTGCTGGTAGAGTGGCTGCAAGATCCATCGCTGGAGTTAGAGCTCACAGGGGATGCACTATTACAGGACCCCAAAAACTATCATGCCTGGCAACATAGGCAATGGGTTATGAAAACATTTGGGTAAGTAACATATTATTTGATGTTATTATAGTATATTCAAAGCATATATTTATTTTTAGCAAGATAGATGAATGATTTTTTTATTACTTCTGCACACGCAACAGGAAATTTAAAAACCAAAATTCGTGACTAAATTGATATAATATGTGGTCTGTAGCAACATAAAATGGGCAATGACTCAGCTTATTGTTTTATCCTCAAAAATGTAAAATATTGATATTTTTATATATAATTAAAATACAATGCGATGCTGTGAAATTCCTAAATAAATATTTTTAACAAAATACAGGGAGAAAACCTACAATAGCAAAATTGTATTCATTGAAAAAGTTCATCAGTGGGTGGGTGTGTATAAATAAAAGATAAAATCATCATTTTAAATAATTTTTACTAAATAAATATTTTGGCAAACATTCAAGCATGATATGCTTTAAGTATGTTTTCTTTGCCATATTTGATTCCCGGTATTTTGGATAAGTTTAGAATAATTAAAATAAGTATTATGATAAATTATATTACACAACATTTTTGTTATATTTTACAGCTTATTCGATAAAGAAATGGAATTTGTAGACAGTTTAATTAATGAAGATGTCCGTAATAACTCTGCATGGAATCAGCGGTACTTTGTGATGAATAATCATATTGGTTGGTCTGATTTGAATGTACAAAAGGAAATATGTTATGCATTGGAAAAAATTAAATTTGTAAAGAATAATGAGAGCTCATGGAATTACCTGAGAGGTGTCTGTTTCCATGATAAAAGAGGGGTCCATGGGAATGCAGTGGTGACGTCATTTTGTGAGGAATTACATAAAACCAAATGTCGATCTCCATATTTATTAGCATTTATTATTGATATGTGTGAAGAAGCCATAAAGAAAGCTGAAACCAATAGTTTTCATAATGCTGATAGAGCAATCTTACTTTGTCACGATTTAGCAACAAAATATGATAAAATCAGAAGTAAATATTGGACTTACGTTTCGGATAAATTCAAGAAAATCCAGAAAGCGCAAAGTGAAATAGAAAACCATGAAAATAATATTGAAGATTAAATTTATCTCATTAGTTTGCTAGAAAAAGAAAGACAAACTAAACAACTTCTATTTTAATATATTTTCAATCCTTATTCGAATTCCTGTAGTAAGCATATAAAGTGAAAGCTAACAAAAGTGCAATACTGACAAACCACTTAATCCTAGTGTTGTTATTTCTGATGTTTTTTATAAATCGAAACCAAAATGCACATTTATGAATATTGGACACGATTTTTTGTGTTATCACGAGCATTGTTTTTATCTGAATGTTACAACAAAGTTAAATAAAACAAAAACTGGAAAATGTATTTTATTTTGCTTCCCGATGGTGCGTTCTAACTTTTGGATGGGTTTTCTTTTTGTGTAGGGTTGTTTACTTTATTTCTATTGGGTAGTCCAAGGTTCGTGTGGACGTGCGAACCAATAGCGCGCGCTACCACCTCGCAGTCGCACTCTTGGTTATGGTTCATGACGCCCGTGAGGCTGGGTCTATTTGTCACATTTGGTATACAGTATTGCGATGTTTTCTTTGTTTTACCTTTGACCTTAGGACCAAAATCACATGACTTGTCAGTGACGGTTATTGCGAGCATTCGCAATATATCAGGACAGTTATTGCAAGCGCATACTGTACAATCGCAGAAGGGCTAAAATTACAATTTGAATAAGACAATTACTATTATTATTATATTAATTAATACATACAAAACAAACGCCGTCATGACTGCAATCGCATAGTCAGAGGCATTGTCAACTGTTGCGGTCGCGGCGGGTATATTTGAATTCAAGATGGCAGCGGGCGAGCCTACCGTCGTCTCAAATTAATTTTTGATTTAATATTGATGCTACAGTGTCAGTCAGGACTATAAAAGACATATTTTTCATTGCCGGTTAAAATGGGACTTACAATCTTTCGGGTGTAATTCAGGGCAAACCATAATGTTGGAACAAATAATAGCGACTTGCGAATACTACCGATATAGTTTTATATATCAGAAGCTGTAATAATGACTAAAAAGCAATGAGTGAGCGTTAATTTCTTTCAAATAGATGAAAAGGGAACTCTAGTCGTAGTCTCTAGTCTCAGCTTGTAGCTGGCGTAGTTGAACTAAGAAATTTGAGAGACAACCAAATAGGCTTTTTGATCAAAAATGGTCTTCATTATATAAATGATATATGTGTAAAATCTATGTGTCAAATTTACTGTTAACTACCACGTGTAAAGTGGGGTTTTCAAGTGTTGCGTTCACCACTACATCGATAATTGTTGAGGGCTCTAACTACCTCATTTAAGATAACAGTCGTGAAGTTATATTATGATACACAAGTTTATTGATATTACCTTATTTATAAGTTGTGGATTTGGAGATCCCTTATTGTGTCTTTTAGTGTTCTGTGGGCCTTTTTTCATGTTGAATTAATAGGCATGACCAATTGGTAATAATGGTTTGTAAAGAAAATTAGTTAGCGTCACTTCATTGTATTATATTGATATTGAATATCTCTTTATGAACAGCGTCATCGTCTACATTATTTTGAAATAATATGAACACTTGGCGGATAATTGTAATGACATGTACGAATATATTGATTCAAGAGGTTTCATGCAATAATAATTAGTTGGTTATATTTATTTCGTTTCACCACTTAGGTAAATATGTGAAAGGCCTCGGTGGTCTACCGTTTTAGCATACCGCTTTATACGATACTCGCGGTTTCGATTCCTCTCACGGTACAAACATTGGTATTCATAACTATGATAGTTTGTTTTGGTCTATGTTGTTTTTCTATGTATATTATGCGTGTATTTAACAATATCTAAATATTTATGTTAGTTGTCTTGTACCCATAACACAAGTTCTGCTTACCATGGGAGTAGATAACATTGTGTGATTTGTCCAGGGTAGTATTATATCAATATTATAAATGTTTCAGTTCATAAAAAGTTTTCAGGGTTTATTACTGAATTCCACAAGGAAATTTAATAAAATTTTGCCCACTATAAAACATGTTTTGGATTAACTTATCTATAGCATATTCAAGGCGCGGGATGCTACTAATATTTCAGTTTTAAAAAAACATTATAATTCGTCAGTTTCGATTATATGTACCTAGGTAATAATTTATAAGTTATAATCTAAAGACGATTGTTTTAAGGTAATTATTTCTATTAAATTCATTATCAGTCTTATCTTAACCTAAATTTCCCCAAAGACCCAATAAAATATATTTAATATCTTTTTCTTGGTACATATTATTTTTAGATCCTTATGGTATTAGTAATTGACATTGAAGCTTTACCAAAGAGAATGGTAGTAATTTTTCGCAATGGACGTTAATATTCCAGTCACCATGTAATCAGTCATTATTGTAATAGAAATGCGAATCAGAAGTGTATTGACATTTGATTTTCAAGAACTAATTAACTAATCAGCCAGATTAGAAAAAAAATAAGCGAAATATGAAGAATACAAATACAAACGACAATTGTAGGGAACCTATAGAACTACGCATGCTAAAGCAACAACTAGCAAATTTAACATGCACATGTAAAACTTATAGAAATCTTTCAGTTTTTTGGAAAAATACAATCCAAGTAGACCAAGGTGTTCAGGTAAAAGGATTGAATTGCTCTTATGACCAATTTGTACAAACCATGAGCAACGATAATGTTCGACACGACAATGACATTGAAATACCCCAGCAGTTTCGTACTATGATACGTAACCAAAACAATTTAGCACCGTGTTCTACGTGTTTTGCTGCTTTAAACGCGTTACACAAAGGCACCACACACATCTTAAAGGACGAAGAATTAGAAACAAATCCAAAGATGTTTACATGTGATAAATCAGCCGGAAGGCATTATAGATATATAGAGAAAACAACTTCAGTAACCGATACACCCGACTCGAAATATTTTAATTTGACATTTAGTGACACCACCAGTCAATATTCAAGTGATACGTTTGAATCCAATCCTCATATCATAAAAAGGAGTAATCGTGATAAAGTGCATTTTCTTGATGACTATTTGGAATACCAGCAAGACAAAAGTTATTCAAAAGCTAATTGCACATGTATTCATATGAATAATTTTATAGATTCTATCAGACCACCTATGGTAAACATGTTTTGAATTTACGGTATTCTATATAGTACGAATGCCGATACACTCGATTCAATGATTAAACAGCTGTGTAAATAGTCATTGCAAAAAATAAGTTCTATAGATCTTTGTAAGTATACGCATGATTGTGTCTACCTATACTGCGATAAGAGTGATGAAAGAAAAGTTTTATTGCGAAATATCATTCAGTGGTGGTGTCAATTAATACCTCATTAATTTTTGCTGTTGATAAATCACATAAATTGTATAATGTTTGTTTATTTTGTCAAACTCAGGAGCCATTATATTGCACATGTAATATTTCGATAGCCCAGAAAATATTATAGATACATATGAACCTTTTGATAGTAGGTACTAGTGCCTTCTTAAGTCGTTATCCATCCACCTTAGCCATGAAGGCATTAGGAGGTAACAAACAAACTAAATCACCATCGTATTTATAATTTTAATATACTTTAATATTTGTAACTATGTAATACACCTTGTATTTCAATTGTACCAAGCGAAATGTGGGCATGTCTTAAGTTTTAGTTTGCGACTACATCGACAGTTTGTAAATACCTCTATGTATCTTTGTAAATGACTACCCCATTTCGGATCATAGTCGTAATGGTATATTTGTTAAGTACGAATAAGGATTTCAAAGTTATAATTTGAAAGACTAATTTATACGTAATACATTATGAGGGTATTGGATTACACACATATGAGATATGGACATAAAAGGAGAATATGTTGCAGTTGGATGCTTTAGAACTATGTATGTTGATTTATAGTGCCACACTCCCAAAAGGTGCATGTGTAATCTAACTGTTAGGGATTATATAGGATTTAATTATTAGGCAGTTTGTTCACAAAACTGCCTGTCCCTGTAATAATATAAATAATAGTCAATTTTATTGTCTCCCAACCATATACTTATAGAATATAATAAACATTACTTCTTCTGCAACAGCAGGTAGGTATGCAGGTAGGTTTGACTATATGTATGGTTATAAGAGTAAGACACCCCGTCTTATCTTGACAGCTGTATTAATTTTTGATTTATAGGTCATATTGGTTTGCATGTGCAAATATTCTTTGTATGTAATAAAAATAATCTTTGCTGCTACTGTGCTATGTTAACAACCATACAAGATATCTACTCGATATGCATATATGGATTATACAAAACTTTATTTTTTATTTATTTATGAAACGTACTGTGATTCACAATAACATTCTTAATATTTTTATTTATACACAAACATAAAATGATTCGCCCGCTTCCATTAACGGTAGGTACTAGGTACACATTGGCGATCACCAGCAGATGATGATAGGTTGAGCATGGAATTAGGTCAGTTAGTATATCATGGCGAAATCACCACTATTACTATCAATGTCCTCCTACCATATACTTAGTATTAACAATATGTGAAATACAAAACAAAGCAAGAAATACGCAATTTTGCAATAAATTATGGTCACAGATCGTTCAATAACTAATAGTGTAAATACTCATACTGCGCTATTAGGTACAAACTACGTTTTCTTGTAGATATGCACTTTTTAAATACAGAGTATATATATAAAAAAAAAGATTAATAATATCAATAGATATCTAAATTAATTTTTGGATTTCATTGGGGTGTATGAGCAAATCGAAAAGTTAATTAGTGTGCCAAATCGCTACATAATCGGAGTTGTAATATAGCACCAGTCAATATCTTTAAATATAACAAATGTTTACCTACCTATTTTTAAAATATACCTAATAATGGAACAGAAACAGGGACTATGTAACATAGAGTATTATGCGTAGATAAATTTATTTAAAATATTAAAATATATAGATATCTATAAGTACATTGCTCTATTCCATGTATTTTGTTATGAGATAAAAAAAAATGCATAGTAATTCTTTATTATTTATTATTGTAACAAGTCAATGATCAAACACATTAAATTATACATAGGTACTTATACTTCTATGTAATTTATAATCTGTATGTAACGCAAAAAAAAGTAAATTTTTAATTTACTGAAATTATTACGTTCTGTAATAATAATACAATTTCAAATGTCACATCAATATTATAGCGGACATTTAAGAGAAGTAAGTAATTAGTAATTTTGAACTAGTAGATACAGTTAAATCCAGAAATCGCAATTGGTACAGGTGGCAGGTTTAGCGTTTAGTTAGTGCCAAGTTCAATATTGGTCGTGAGAGATTCAAAAGCTCAGGACTATAGTAATCGATATATATATATAAATATAAATGTAATACAATGGGATAATATATAAATATGGGATAAATAAATTTTAGTTGTTAACAGATGATGATGCAGCATAATGTTTAATAAATCTTGCCGACGGGTCTGTCACTTGTACCCATTTTGGCATCCAATAATATGGTGTGAAATGGTGTTGTCCTGGAAAGGTTACTTCGAATACATAGCGGTAGTACTTAGATTCTTTAGTAGTAGGCTGTGTTCCTTTGAAGATAATGTCTTCTTCTGGAAGCCTTTCTGTAATTATTTCTGACAAAGTTGTAAATAAAGACTTTTTTAGAGATGCAACGCCGTCACTAAATGCTTCCTTATGACGCCATAGTATTGCGTCAGGCAATAGACCGCTCTTGTCGAAACTACTACGTAGTAGATATTTCTCTATCCCATTTTGTGGTTGACGTAAGTTGGGGTCTATACTGAGGTAATAGTGTGTAAATTGGATGTCTAAGAATGGCACTCTTAGTTCTAAACTGAAAGCACTGGTTGTTCGGTCTGCACGTAAGCCATCGTACAAGTAAATATCGGAAAGAAGTCGTTTACTCTCTTCATGACCAGCTTTTGAGGATGGTGCATCTCTAAAATAAATATAACCTTGAGCTAATTCATCAGCACCTTCACCACTGAATACAACTGTAGTTTCAGTATTCTTTTTTATATATTTCGATAAAAGATACATAGGTAAACTTGCACGTATTGTCGTAATATCATAAGATTCCAAATGATATATGACATTATCTAATTCCTCTTCTATGTCATTTTCAGTAAATTTTACTTCATGATGCTCAGTACCCAGATATTCTGCTACAGTCCGAGCAGCTGCTAAATCAGGAGAGTTATCCATACCAATAGCGAATGTTTGAATTTTATAAGGTAGTTTCTCTTGTTTGGCCAGTTTTACTACTAATGCTGTAATCAGTGAAGAATCTAACCCGCCGCTTAGAAGACAGCCGATTCTTCTTTCCGCCATTAACCGTTTTCTACAAGCTGCTTCCAACAGACTAGCTATTTTTTCTTTTACATCCATGTCTTTCAAAATATCTTCAGAAACAAATGGCTGAAACCTAGGTGGTGTTCCCGGTTTAAAGTATTGTTCAGTGTAATCTTTTTTCACTTTTCCATTATCCAGTATACTCCACACTTCGAAATGTCCTGGTGGAAATTGTCCCAACGTGGTATTTTCACTGGATTTTAATTTAAGTCCCATTAGACCCTTACCTTCTGAAGCAATTGCCATAACTCCGTTAACCTCGTCGTCAAGCTTGAATAAAGGTCGAACACCATATGGGTCTCGTGCCAAATATATTTTTCTTTTTTCGCCATCAATTAAACAAAAAGCGAATACACCATCAATTTTTTTAACAGTGTCTGCCACACCAAATTTATGGTAACTGTGAATGATAGCTTCCACGTCACATTTAGTTTCATAGGGAAACTCGTATTGTGTTTGAAGACGTTTGTAGTTGTATATTTCGCCATTACAAATAAGAGTAGTGCGAGGATATTGATGTAGTCGCATGGGCTGCATACCGTGCAAGCCGTCGACAATGGCGAGTCTTCGGAATCCGAGTATGGCGAGAGGTTCGCGTGCGTCTTGTTCTATACGCCACGCATCTGGTCCGCGGTGCTCAATACAAGAAAAACATTTGTGACAGATTGGAGTTAGGTTAGCGTCTACTCCGAAGGTACCCCAAATGCCACACATCTTATTGAATCTGAAATAAAGAAATGTATATTATTACAAGTTATTTATATTGAATAAAGCGACAGTTACATATCTATTTACATCTATAATATTATATAAAAACTTTATAATTTTGTCAGTTAGACCGACAAATAATTAACTAACGTCAAAACTAACTACTAACTAAAATTACGACTAATTTAACTTATTGATATAATTTAATAGTAGATATATAAATACGTACATCGTTTCTCTATTTTCTTTTGATGACTTGGTCAAATTAAATATTGTACTGTATAGTCAAATCTGTTTACAAACATACACCTATACAGAACTTAATCAATTACACAGATAAGCAGTTCCATACTATCTTTCCAAATTAGGTGTAATAAAATCGTAATATAATCATAAGATACTGAACCAAAAATGATGGTTTTTTAAATTAATAATATCTACACATAAAAAAGGCATTATGTTTATATACTCGTTTTATATGAACTTTATATACTTATGTATATATATACAGGATATATGAGTACCAAGTCGCGTTATAAATAAATATATTTATTGACGTCACTTCTCGAAACCTGCATCTTATCTAAAGTATGCCTATAAAATACGTAGGCAGGAGTATACTGGTATTGTGGGAGTCCCTCTAATCTTATTTAGTCCCATTAGCATTATCATATTGTTCTTATACATACAATAATTATATATGTATAAACGTTTTTGCAGGAGGGTGTGAAATGTATGCATAAAATTTGAACATCCTAAGTACCTTATTAATATTTAACCATTCCTACATTCCAGAATCGATTTTCTTTTGTCACATACGTTTCGAATTTGATGGATGAACTTTGAATAAAATTATCGCTTACTATATTGTTTTTAATACACTGACTGAAATGAAAAAAAAAGTAACTATCGTTAAAAATATGTGATGATATTATTCCCAGTGTCCGTTGATTAAATTCGTACTCTGTCAAAAAACGAAGCAAACAGGTTTTGCCAGGTATTGACAATAATTATAATGTTGTATGCACCATGCTACAAACAATTTGTGTAACGTCAATACCATATCTTTTAGAATTTAAGAACAGTGAAATATTACCTACGTAATGAATATTGAACTCTCTGAAGAATACTTTTAAACAATATTCTGCAATATAAAACATCTTTCATGTATTTGAATTTGTCAGAATAAGGCGACATTGTTGCGAGAAAAATGTTTGAAAAGTCGTAGATAGTAAGTACATGGTAAAAAGTAGATTGTTAATTAATATGTCATAGGTATAAAAAATATTAATAATTAATATACAGTTTCGTATCAATGTAATGGAATTATTTCGTGTCATATTTTTCATTAGTAGGTACACCAGTGCGATGACGGGCAGGTAGCTAGTAAGATTATAATAATGACCTTTACCTTTACGTCTATTTTAACATTACTCATTAACATAGTATATAAAAATATACTAGGGTATACACTTGCTAACTAATTGCGAGTTATTTTTTTTCGGAACCTGGTAGGTACTTGTGCTATTTTTTTTAATAATTGTCGAACATTACCTCGTTTCAATTATAAGTATGTATATTATAAGTATTATATTTTTATTATGTACGTTATAAAAAACATCGTTAAGATTAATACTCTAAATATACATATATACATTTTAAGTACACGTATATACATAAAAGTTTAACTAATTATGAGCCATTTGTGTAATATGCTTAGTTGCATCTCGGGGATTATGTTTTGTTATATAAATAACGTAGGGATTGCCTGGGAACAAATGTTTAGGTGGGCATCTATACTTTAAAACTGCTGAAGACGCACTTGATGCAATGTTACATCATGGATCGAACTACGAATATCACGCCATCATGCGACGACTGTGGTATGTACCTACTCCTCATGAGTGCCCAGTCCGGTGGACTAAGGTATTCCTTCGTACCGAGTAATTCAAATACTTGTATCCACCTTTACGATAATCACCAGTCGAATAATTGATTGAATAATAATTTATGATTTAAAAAACTTCTTATTTTTATCAAGCATGTATGTATGTAGTTTATAATTATCACATTGTTATTGGACATGTCCTTCTTATAAACCCTGTAGATAAGACTGGATTAAATACCTAAATTTATATTTAAGTCTGGTCGAAAAATATGTTAAGTGTAAAAATGTATCTACATGATACATCTTGTGTTTTTATAGTTGCATTACAAATTAATTTTAGATTTTCTGAAAGTGCCAAATAATAAGAATTTATTTTTATTATCATATACTTAATTTTTGCACATAAATGTAATAGGATACGAGAAGTTCTTAATTAAAGTACTGTATCAGGTGTTCATTATAGATATAACCTTAATTTAGTTAAATAACTTTTTTGCTTACTCTTTAAAATTCTTTACGTATATAATTACGTTTATTTTTAATTTTTACTTAGGTATATTTGTAAACGGTAAAATAATTTTAATGTAATAAATACTTACCAATTATAATTTTTATTATCTATTTGGGAATGTATGTATATTAATATCTGAGAATATTAATAACCTTTGCGGCGAATACGAATTTGTTGTAGAAAAACACGACAACTTCAGACCAGTTCCAACTATGTACTGGTTTTGATAATGTTCCGATCCGAGACCGGATTCGATAAATTGAAGACGATAAAAACGTTTTGGTTGTCGAGCTGGCTATTATGCATGTACCTATATTGTATATTGTGTTGTCAATTGCAAGCTGTCAGTGTAAACGAATATAGGACACACACGCATGATGTGAAATTGTCAATGTCAAAATTGACGCAGATGTTAATCGCTCGTTGGTATCATAGTAACAAAATTATTTTTGTATGAGATTATACCCATCTCCTTTTCAACTCGGAATATTTACAAGCAGTAGAATGCATATATGTATATAAAAGATTTTGTTGCATATGCAGAACCATCTTAGTTAAAACAAATTGTTTTTTACGCGAAACTATTCAAACTAATATTTATTCTAAGCATTACAGGTTACATTAATTCAATTTTTATATATTCCGTCCTTACTTATATTATGTACGTAACTTATGCCTATAATAACCATTTTGTTCCCATTCTACTCATATTGTCTACGTATTTGCCAATATTTTTATTATTTCACATTATACAAATCACTTCATAAATTTTCCACTCCTAAATTGTTTTAATTTATGAAGTGATTTGTATAATGTGTTTATGCCCCTATACTAGAATCCAACTAACTAGTCTACTGCCCTACCGAAGTCTCAAAGCAGTGACTTGCTTTCTCCAGTTTGAATGTAGGATACCTACAGCAGTTTTGTATATGCTTTTCAGCAGGCATTTCATATTTGTTGATTTACTGTGTAGTTTCTAGATGGCTCTGAATGTTTTGGTTCAAAGCGTGTTTGAAGCGATTGTGCATCATATCGTTGAGGAGCGACTATTCGTTGGATAAGATCTTGAATTCACACTGGAAATTTCAAAAATAAGGTTTATCTCAAATGGACTGTATGTTCATAATTTGAAACAAATAGCAATACTTTGTTAATTTTACATCGCTTTACCCAATTCTCTCTACAGTAAATTTTAAAACGAAATTAGTAAGATACCGATACCGTACTCAGGTTAAACCCTTTATTCCTGAGGTATTTTAGATTAATTTCGTTAATATTGAAGTCCGCTTTTTGTATAACATAATCCAATGTATATTTTAAAATAATGGGAAATTTATTATGATAAAGGAAATGCAGGATGGCAGAATAATAGAAAGACGGTCTGAATAAATTAGCAATATAATTACTTACACAAAATGTGGAATAATAAATATTAATCTCATTATACTGAAACTTACGAACAGGGGCTTTAGAGTTAAAGGTAAATTTAAATGTTTGATTAATTTCAGCTTCAACTATTAATTTATGTTCGTTTACAAATATTTAAAACTTGAAATGCTGATCAGATTTAGGAGTTTTAATGAAGGTTAGATACATACTGCTTATGAATAATTATGAGGTAAGTATGTACTTACATTTGATAGAAATTATTAGCAAAAAAAATGTATATTGAAAATAATTAAAGTTGAACATATTTTTATGTATATTTATAAAACTTTGAGTTCTTGCGCTCTCGGGAAAGTTAAAATTGCCATTTTAGAGTGAATGGAGGATTGGTTTCTATATCACGTCGATAATATAATTTGACCAGTAGCAGCAGAATGGCGCAGAAAGAATTACTGTTCCAACAAAATAAGTAAATATAATATATCTATCTTACTTATATAATATATATATAAGTAAATATAGAATATCTAGAATTTATTGCGTGTTGAATAAACTCATATAAATAGAAAGGTTTGATTTTTGATAGACTAAAAGTTATAGCACAAATTGAACTATTTTTAAATTCTGTAAATTCTTCAGGGAGCAATATTAGTTGTTTTTCACCCAGATATCATGACGGTTTATGATTTTTTATGACACAATTTTAATCTTTACGTAGTATAAAAGTCACCGCCTTTGTCCGTTTGTCTATACCAATCTTTTTACACCCGCAACGAATTTAAAGAAGTTTTCAGCAATAGATAGAATGATTCAGGCGGAAGGTGTATATGTATAGGTAATATATGTGTGTTATAGTATAGAACTAACCGTGAAATTCAAAGATTTGTAATGTACTCGTGCAAAGCTGTGACGGGCGCTAGTGTTAAATAAAATTGCCTACCTAAAATTTAACTTCAATGTGCGTGAATCCTAATATCAGTGATGGGGTTTAATTGATGACTAATGTAAAGTACGCGTACGTCTGGATTTTTTTCTGTCTATTCATCCATATAGGAAATTCATCGTGTATACAAACTTCCTCATATTAGATGCGTAATAAGTAGCTAATTTCAATTATGAATAATTTGTAAGGTGTATGTACCATGATTTTGTAAATTACCTACTACCTTATAAACGATTTTCTATCAATATTAAATTTCAAATAATAATTGCAAATTCGCAAGCTTTATTTATTTAATACAAATATTTGAGGCAGAATATTTTGCTTCTAATTTGTGTTGTGTATTTAATAACATCAGCGAGAAAGTTATAGTTAAGTATTGATATTTGTATTGTAAGCAATTTAAATATTGTATTTAGCAAAATTTATGCACTAGCGTAACTGATTTCGAGTTGTTTTTGTAAAATGCGAGGTTTTTTTTATTGTATACATAACAATAATCTAGAGACAATCCACATTGTGCCATCTAGTCCCAAATTAAGGAGAGTAAGTTTTACGGGTACTTATTCTAAATACATAGATATTTATTTTTTGAAATATATATTAACATACATAGATAACATCCAGAGAGATATAAACATCATACTCATGAATACAAATTGTTGTACCCTGCGAGGAATCGAACTTGCACCAAAGGAAGTAAAGCGGTATGCTAAATTGCTAGAAGACCGACGCCATCAATGCCTATATTACTAATGAAAGTAGATACGTCTATTTCAATTAGTTATTAGTTTCATTATGATAAGTATTCTTTAGGTAAAATATGTAGGAGTGTAGGTATATTAATTAATGTTAGTAAAATGATACGTAATAATGTAGGACAATGTATAGACGGGATCCAAATCGCTTAGTTATTCGGGTCGAATAATTTAGAATGTCCAAATTTAGTGTATACCTAATTTTAAACATTTACAAATGTCTGAATTACTTTAAAGTATTTCATGATTTTAATAAACTGTAAAATAAATATAATAATAGCTTTTCATAAATGCAAATAAAAGTACCTATACGCGTACATTTTTTTTTTAATTTTTTGACTGTATGTTTATGCTTGCTATATCTTTGTAAACGATAGGACCGATTTTGTAGGGACTTTCACTCGCATATAGCTAATGTTATAAGGAGTAGGTCACTCAAGTTATATTTATCTTAGAAATATATATTTTTTTATTTTATGAAAATCAAGTTAAATTCCACGCAAACGAAGTCTTTAAATGAAAAATTGGGTAATAGGTGGAATCTATAGTACGTAGATATGAGATTTGCTTTGAATTTATTTTTGTGTGTAGTTCAGTAACTCATTAACCTTTATGAAATACCTGTAGGTATTTCATGCAAAGTGTAATTTTGATTGATGTGTTGAAATCGGATCATGTGTACTATTTATTGCCTGTCCCTTTTTTTATATATTCGGTGAAATCAAGTATACGTATGTAAGTGATATTTTAGAACTTTTACTGAACTCGGTTGAAAAATATAAAATCAAATGAACAATCTTTGTGTTGAAATTTCCTTGAGATGACAGCTACAAGTATCTCAGAGGAAATTTGATTTAACGAGACAGGAAAAATATAATTTGCGAGAGAAGCTCTGTCATCTAGGCAGGTTGATATTAATATTAACCTAATTTGGTATCTAGCTTAATATCATTATGTTAAATAGTAGGATGAAACGAT